ATTAAATTGATTAAAGAAACCCAGTTAGAGAAAAGAATATAGAGATAATATCAAAAGAATTGTTAGCCCACCCCATCCCTCATTTTTATATATATATATATATATATATTTTTGCCCCATCTCTCTCTTCACTATTTCCTCCCCCTCTCTCTCCCTTCCTGAAATTTTTACACTTCAGTTATTATTCAACTAGTTCCATACTCCATTCCAGTCGGTGGCGGTAATGCACCTATAGACCAATTACCATGTTTGTAAACATTCAGGATGCGCGCGCAGGGAGGTGGCAGAAAACAACCGGGAGCGCCAGCATTTACAGTGAGGGGATGACATCAGACGCGGTGCAGAGTTTGTTGTTGTCTTAGAAATAAGATATATTACTAACATATTATATATATTATTTACATAATGCTTACAGCATATTATAACAGCTCGTCACCCAGTGACAAGCACAGTGATTCAGCAAAATTAACGTTAAAGTGAGCGGCGTTCATCTGACGGCTCCATTTGCGATAGCTCCCTCCCAATGAATATTGGATAAGACGAAATGACCAAGCATTCAGCCCGACATAAACAATCTCAATGAAGCTCCGAGTGATTTTACAAGAGAGAAGTTAAAGGCCTACAAGTCTTTGGATGCCAACAATGTTGTTCTTTGAGGTCATGTGCAATAAATATTGCTCCATGATGACCAGATTCAAGAGCTGAACACCAAGATTCCGCCTAGCCAAACACAAGGAAACAAGACGGAGCTAACGATATACAAGGCCTGGGAAATTAATCACCAACACGCAAAATGACTGCATTCTGACAGTTAACTTCACCTGTACGGCAGGGTATGTGAACCTACACATAGAGGTAGATTTGGTTTTATATTCGCACATTCAGACTTTCTCCTTAATAATATAGTTTCATAAAAATATTATTTGCAAACTCTAAATAGCAAATCATATTAGCAACAGCCAAGACTAACAAAGTACAACATTGTTCACAGTCAAATAAACAGTGTTAATGTTGTTTTCAAGTCACACTTGCAGGTTATTTCAGACCGAATATTCAAAGTGCCGTGGTAAACAATATAGGGAGTATGTCACAAGTTGTCACTGAATAATGTGTGAATAATATAAAACTAAGTTTACCTTAATAAACTTTCACGTTTCATTCTTAGCATTCAGTGTCAGCAGTTTAATTCACCATATGTAACTGTTTTTGCTGAAACCATTTCTGCAATCAAAAACGAGTGATGTGTCTGATTCAGCATAGCGTGAACTGACCTGATATGACATGACAACTGCAGAGTCCAGCATTTCTAATTAGCTCCTCACTTCATTCAGCTCCCATTTAGCCAAAGACGTCTGCAGTCGGTATTAAAGCAGTGTGTGGTGTATGGTAAAATTTAAGTTTTCTATTTTTGGACTCGAATTTGGCATCCTACCGCAAAACACGACATCTTTCCCATTGTAGCCTGTCTGTTTTCTGCAACCGGGGACCCGTGTGACGTCATGTGTGACGTAGGTTGGTAATTGGTCTATAAGTCTGGTTGCCAACCGCCAGTAAAACCCAGTGACGAAGAAGAAGAAGACTTGCGGTGCGTTCGCAGCCCGGGGTTCATTGGTTTGCGCAAGCCGCGCACCTCCATTCGAAACAACAAACTTGTGCAAACTCTAGAAATACGTGATATGCTAACAGCTCCTAAAAGGTGGCCATCATTTGCAATCTCCATCAGTTTAGCTTCTTGCACAGACATGCTGGATTCACCTGATTTGTTGACAAGTGGGTTGCGGATCCATTGCTTCACTTGGCAAAGAAACTTTCCAAAGACCTCAGTTTCTTACTCATTTTGCTGCTTTTGGGTTAAATTTGGGTGCTAAAGTGACCAAGATGTAAATTAAAATGGTCGAGCCGAACTGAGTCTGGTTCTCTCAAGGTTTTTTTTCTTTACTCCTATCAGGTGAAGTTTTTTTTCCCTCTCCGCTGTCGCCACTGGCTCGCATGGTTCAGGATTGGTAGAGCTACGAATCGATGAATTTGCTCTTCAGTGTTTGAACTCTCAGTAATGATTTTAAATCACACTGAACTGAGCTAAATTGAACTGAACTGAACTTAAACACTAAAAACTGAACTAAACTGTTCCAGTTACTATGACCATTTACGTGAAGCTGCTTTGACACAATCTACATTGTAAAAGTGCTATTCAAATAAAGCTGAATTGAATTAAAATGTAAGCGAGAGAGTCTGGTCATTTTCCAAAATAAAAGACTTTTTAAAATAAAAAATCGTTCAGACTCAAATAAATATAAAACGGAAATATTCATTCATTTTCTTTTCGGCTGAGTCGCTTTTTTAATCCGGGGTCGCCACAGCGAAATGAATCGCCAACTTATCCAGCACGTTTTTACGCAGAGGATGCCCTTCCGCCTAAAATGGAAATAATTTATGATTTTTTGTGCAGCCTGGTACCAATTGATCCACGGACGATGGTTAAGGACCAAATAGCTAGGGGATAAAATGAACGGCAACATGATCATTCTCCTAATTGTCCACTGCTAAGAATTTAAAAAAATATGACGCCACCCCCCACAAAGCTCGCTGAGGCCCCCTTGTGGGCTGGGACCCCCCTCTTGGGAACCGCTGCCGTATGACGTGTATCAGGATGATAATGACCAATACACACAGCAAGACTGGTGACAGTGGTTTTATGAACATGACAGTTGAACATCTCTCATGGCCTGCACAGTCACCAGACCTAAATATTATTGAGCCACTTTGGGGTGTTTTGGAGGAGCGAGTCAGGAAATGTTTTCCTTCACCAGCATCATGTTGTGACCTGGCCACTATTCTGAAGGAAGAATGACTCAAAATCCCTCTGGCCACTGTGCAGGACTTGTATATGTCATTCCCAAGACCAATTGATGCTGTATTGGTGGCAAAAGGAGGCTGTACAACAGGGGTTCTCAAACCTGGTCCTGCAGATTTTAGCTCTTGCCTCAACACACCCGCAAGGATGTTTCTAAAAAGCCTAGTAAGAGCTTGATTAGCTAGCCTATGTGTGTCTGATTAGGGTTGGAACTAAACTTTGCAAGACACCGGCCCTCCAGGACTGAGATTGAGGACCCCTGCCCTACACCATACTAATTGTGGTCTAAAACCAGGCGTTTCAGTTTCATTGTCCAACCCCTGTAGAAGTATTATCTGCAAAATTAGGGTAAGGTGCAGTAGGTGATCTGCAATAATGCTAACTGGTTAGCATATTATCTACTGCGGCAGGGGAGGGACTGTGTTTTAAAGCCACGCCTCCTGAAAACACAAACGTGTACACCGCGACATGATGGCAGACAACCCACTAGTTCATGTCATTTGCCAGTTAGAAATGTAGTTAGTGTTTGGCCGGTGCCTCCTCAGAATGTGCTACCGCCCTGCTGAAAAATCCAGCTTAAACCAGCCTAGGCTGGTTGGCTGGTTTTAGCTGGTCGACCAGGCTGGTTTTAGAGGGGTTTTGGCCACTTCCAGGCTGGTTTCCAGCCATTTCCAGCCTGGTCTTAGCTGGTCAGGCTGGGAGATGACCAGCTAAAATCAGCTTGACCAGCCTAGCCAGGCTGAGAGCCCAGCCAAAACCAGCTATGTCCAGCTTAAACCAGGCTGGTCAAGCTGGTTTTAGCTGGATTAAGCTGGTCATTTTTCAGCCTGACCAGCTAAGACCAGGCTGTAAATGGCTGAAAACCAGCCTGGAAATGGCCAACACCCCTCTAAAACCAGGCTGGTCAACCAACTAAAACCAGCCAACCAGCCTAGGCTGGTTTAAGCTGGATTTTTTAGCAGGGCAGTAACTCAATCTGTCATATTTCATCAAAAAAACAGGGTTATCACATCTTGTCAGCTTTAAATGTGTATAAGAATGAACTACCTACTTAAAGAAGGGTGTAAAAACAGGAGTAGCACGTTTTGTTAGCTTCAAATGTCAATCGGAATGAACTACCACTCTAATAAACAAATGACATATAAAACTGATGAAATACAAAATTAAGGCAGTAGTTCACTCTGTTAGACTTTTGAAGCTGCTACGCCTTTTTCTACATTGTTCAATAGAGAAGTAGTTAATTTCGATATATTTGAAGCTGACAATATGTGCTACCCCTGTTTTTACATCCTTATTCAATGTGGTAGATCATTCTGATAGACATTCGAAGCTACAGTTTACCGGAAACAATTAACCCAGGTTACTGGCAAATTAAAAGTCCTATTAGCATGCTTTGGCATACACCCTATAGTCTACGTTTAATAGTTTAAAACAACATAAAGATTTTAAAAACAATTTACGCAAACCTAACATTTATGAAAGCTCCTTTGTGCACTTTTCAGTTGCAATCCACTTAAACTAAAGTAAACCAATTTACTTGAATTAAAACCAAGTAAAGTAAATTCTAATTTACTCAAACGTTAGTTACTCACCTAATTGTTAAAAACTGGTAACCATTGTCTTCAATGTTTAATATTTGTTTTACCTACTATGGACGTGAATGGGTACCGGTTTCTAACATTTAAAAATATATTTTAAATATATATTTTGTTTTCATCAGGAAAAAAAGTAATAAATGTTTTTTTTTTTAAACACTTGAGGGAAAGTAAACAAGCTATAGTAATTTTTCATTTTGGGGCGAACTGTCCCTTGAAACAAATGGAAAGAGAATAGTAATTTTACCTTTATAGTAACTTTACCCTGTTTTGTAGTAGTAAACCATGGTAAATGTTTTACATAAGGACTACAAAACTAGAAAAACATTTCTAAGCTTGCCTTAATGTAAACTAGTTTTGAAAATGTCGTCTTCCAGTTTAAATATGAACTTATTTAGTCTGAGTGAGAAAGTAATATGTTAAAAAAAATCGTTATAAATCTTCATATTTTATTAATGTTTCTTTATTTGAAGCTACCTCTCACACTACGAACACCGGTTAACGTTACTTTCTGCATCGGTCAAACAGAACGCGCCTGCTGTTTTTCGTGACGTCATCGCGTAAATTGATTTCCCGGATGAAACCGAGTTGTTATGACAACGTCGGTAAAGCTGTAAAGCGAAAGTGCGAAACTACTATCGCACAGAAGCGTGATATTTCACTCATGGATACAGGAGCGAACACGTACCTCATTAGGCCGAATTATAAAGACAAGTAAGACGCTTTGCTTCCACTTTTTAAGGCTAAACTTAACGTTAGCTAGCTAAACTAGCAGCTTGCTAAAACATCAGCATCATCTGAACAGCATATGAAGCAGTGTTTGCCTTAACTCCTGAATTGTATCCAAATATCCGCATTTAGGTAAACAATATAGAGACAATTAAATGAACAAATGTGCGAATATAAACCAACTTTACCTCAATCACACCGAACCTGCTCCATTTCTTGCCTTTGTGAATGTCATAAAGCATAAAACTGACTTTACCTCAATAATATCCGCAGGTTCAAGGCAGGTGTGGCGAAGGAGTGCATTGGAGAAATCCTAAGGGAGCAGCTGTATGGAGTTCAGTATGATCCCGAAGAGGTTCCCACATTATCCAGATCTTTAGCAGACTCCATTAAACACAAGCTAAAAGGTAACAGCACAGTACGATTTAGATAAAGTTGGTTTTATATTGAGACATTCAGACTTTCTCCTTATATAACTTCGGAGAAGTATATTTTGCAAATCATAAATAGTGAAATTATATTAGCACCCTATGACTATCAATGTGTAACATTGACCACAGTCAAATAAATAGTGCTCATGTTATTTTCAAGTCATACTTGCATGCTAATTCAGACCGAACATTTAACGTAGAGGAGTAAACAATACAGGAACCATAAAAATGAACAAATGTGCAAATATAAAACCAACTTTACCTCAATCACACAGAATCGTTAAGTCAACCCCACAATAATAAAGGGACTAAGCCGAAAAGAAAACAAATGAATGTATAATGATAATAATATTAATATTTCATTGTACATTTCTGACTTATACAATCCTGCACAGTGGCTAGAGGGATTTTGAGTCATTCTTCTTCCACAATAGTGGCTAGGTCACAACATGATGCTGGTGAAGGAAAACATTTCCTGACTCGCTCCTCCAAAACACCCCAAAGTGGCTCAATAATAGTTAGCTCTGGTCACTGTGCAGGCCATGACTTAAAATGCTCATTAAAGAAAAACATAATAAAACGTGTATTCTATTAAAAAGATGGAAATAATGGGATGATTTATAAACAAATTGGCCTTTTTGAGTAAGAAAATCTAAATAATAAAATGTTAACAATGCACAGAATATAAAAATTTGAGTTATGAAAAAAAACATTAAAGGTATTAATACATAAACAGATATTACCTAAAAATGAAAAGTAATCCCTAACTTTATTTTTCCAGCACAAAAGTAATCTAAGTACAGTAACTAGTAACTTTCTAAGTAATCATACCCAACACTGCCCAGGTGTGCAAGGCATTATTTTCTAACAATTCAAAGCCCAATCATCGATTATTTCTTATTTAAATCATTTACTGTTATTTATTTATTTATTTATACAGGGACAATGTACAACATGACATGTTGTGCCAGAGTTAGCTATAAAGCTAATTTACATCTGTACCCAAACTTGCACCCAAACTCTGGAACTCTCTACCACGTTCACTCCGCTCCGCTAATAATATCTCTGAATTCAAATCCTTACTTAAGACTCACTTATTTTCTGAATGCTTCGCTTCTGATCTGCCAAACTGACTACTTTATCTGATCCACCACCACTCTGCTCATATGTCTCTTAGGTCTTGTTTGTGTAATTCCAGTTTGTTAGATTTGACTTCATGTATGTTTGTTTATCTTTTTGTTGCGTTCCTTATAAAGTGTCCTTGAGCTCTGGAAAGGCGCTATATAAATAAAAATTATTATTATTATTATTAAATGCCTGTATGTGGGGCATAAATGGGAAAGAATATGGAACCAAAATGTTTTGGAACCAGAAAATGTATGAAATAAGCTTTCTGATTGACATTTTAGGAGTATAAGACCTCTAATGAAGTATATTTGCTCTTCCTCAGACATGGCCTTTGACAGATACAAGTTCATCGTGCAGGTGGTTATTGGAGAACAGCGAGGAGAAGGAGTCAAGTAAGCAAAATCAAGCCCTCAAAATTATGCTTGCAAGCAGAGCCACGACCACAGGCATTGTCTTTCCTGATCGTTGTCTTCAGCTCTGACATTTGGCTTGTTTGTCACCAATCTGAGGTTTCTACTGAGTCTACTGATCTTTCTAGGCCACCCACATCCACAGTCACTGTGGTCTTTTTTGTGTTGCGAAACCAATATCGCAGGGCATCTGAAACTCACAGTTGTGCATCTGCAGATATCGTCAGCATCTGTGCAATAACCGGGTGGCTGTGGGTCCTCAAAAGCATCTTTTCTAGCACGAAAATGTGAATATTGGATAAAGTCGGGTTCAAACTTCTTGTTTATTTTACTTGACACACAGTATGTGACCTTGGACCACAAAACCAGTGTTATATTTCATTGGGGAGCAGCCCAAAAAATAGTGCCATTAAAATATTGCTGCACAATAAATCAAATTTCTAATTTGGATTGTGATTACGGATGCCATGTATAAGTTATCGTTCAGTATCCTCTTCAAATTTGATTATACACTCACCGGCCACTTTATTAGGTACACCTCACGAGTACCAGGTTGGACCTTATTTTGCCTTCAGAACTGCCTTAATCAGGGCCCGTGAACAGGGGGGTGGCCTGGGGGCTAGAGCCATTGCCCCTTTGGCCTCATTGGCTGAGGTGCTCCTCTCAGCCTGATCCCTCCCTCCCCCTCCAACACGTCCATTCCCCTGCCCCTGGCTGTTCAGTTACTGCTTCGCTTGAAGGGTCATGAAACACCAAAACACATGTTTTGAGCTGTTGTAAGTCGTATATGTGTCCCACACTGCTAAAAACACTATTAGGACACCTATATTTCACTAAAAAGTGTAAATTGGTTGTTTTTGCGTTATTTCAAGCAAATTCGTACTTCCGGTTTGAAACGAATTTTTGAAGCTGCGTCACGGTCATGACATAACAGTGTGATGCATTAATGCATAAATAAGGCTTGGTTCAAACCAATCAGCGCGCTCTATTGTGCAACTTCATTAATATTCATTACTGTCACAGTGTTTAGACGACAGAGACGCCACGTTGTGTTGGCAAAACAAGCGTGAAGTGTTGCTTTATAGTTTGCTGCAGTTAAGTTTTGTTTTCATTTTCTCTCTGTGAGAGCGCAGCTGGCGTCACGTGTGGATTAACAGTGTACGCGACGCTCGACAACAATAACTTACGTGTCTAAGGAGGATTATTGTTTACCTGAGAGCTGTTCTCATCTGCAAACGCTGAGATCCGGATTCGCTTGTAGTATTCTCTTAATAAAGACGCGGCTCTAGTTGCTGGTGATCGTCCCGTCTCTACAGATTTGGTAAGTGAGCGACCAGTGCTCTTTGTTTATTCAGTTTGTCCGTATCGAACAAACTATTGCACCGAGTGTAAACATGTTAGCACCACAACCAAACTTTAACCTCGTGTAGGATTTTCACCACATTTTGTGACCGGAATAACACACTCGGCTTTCTGACACTATCTGTCGTGTGCATCTAAGTTTCCGGGAAATGCTGAGGTTTTTTTTTTTTTTCATTCGCCGTGCGGTATCAAACATTGCATGAAAAATACACGCTTAGAGCAGATCCTCGAATCAAATATCTCGATTGTTGCGAGGGGCATGAATGAGTTCCCTGAATGAAAGAGCCAAACTGCAGTTAAAGTCCACCATTTAATCATTTGGCAAATAATTTGACCACAGATGTCCATGTAAACACAGTCACTTTGTCCCCTGTGTGTATATTTTGACTCTGAAACTCAGCGCGCCCAAATAGACACTCCCACACCATGCCTCTTTTCTTCCTTCGACACTCCTCTCTAAACAGAGCTGGACACGCCCACTTTTCTGACTTTTTCCAAAGTAGAGGTGTGAAAACACGCTGCTGAAACGAGGGGGTTTCATGGCCCTTTAACATCCACTGATTCCATTAATCTGCTCCATGATTTACCGCCTGTGTGCCTGCTTTCCGGAAAGTGGAGGTATCAGTTCTTAACGATCGTTGCATTACAAGGTAGATTGTCTCATTACAACCCACATTGCAGTCAGTGGTCCTCTAAAAGTGCTGACAACTTGTGCTAAATATCCACGTTCTTAGAGTTTGAATGTTTAATCAAAATCAGATCTAATATGAATAACAATGTTCTGTTGTTGGCACACTTTGTAGAAAAAAAATACTTAAACATGAGTATCTGTACCTCTACTTAAGTAAAGGATGTGTGTACTTTCGCCATCTCTTGTTAAAACCTATAAAAAAACAAATTAAAAACATTACAAACTGTTGCCGGAAGGTAAATAACAAACTGGCCAGCTCTTTTCCTCAGTCAGAATTTGTTAATTTAAATAATTAGAAATATAAATTAATAATAAATTTGTCTTAAAGCCTTCTTCAATCAGTTAATCTCACAATTTATGATGGTATACTTTCAAAAATGGGACTCATATAGAGGCCAAATTCTAGACTTTGTCAGTGGGGAGGTGGGTCTTTCGAACCACCCGAACCCCTCCTGGCTAGGGGCCTGATGTACTATGAGTGTGAAAGTGCATAAGTGTATAGTGTGCCATTTGGGACGCAGAGATTGTCATGTTCAAGAAACCAGTCAGATGATTTTATGACATGGCGTGTTATCCTGCTGGAAGTAGCCATCGGAACATGGGTACACTGTGGTCATAAAGGGATGCACATGGTCAGCAGCAATACTTAGGTAGGCTGTGGCCAAGAAAATATCCCCCACATCATTACACCACCACCACCAGCCTGAACCGCTGACTACAAGGCAGGATGTATTCATGCTTTCATATTGTTGATGCCAAATTTTGACCTGACTATCCCAATGTGACAGCAGAAATGGAAACTCATCAGACCAGGCAAAGTTTCTCCAATCTTCTATTGTCCAAATTTAGTGAGCCTGTACAAATGGTAGCCTCCTGTTCTTAGCTGACAGGAGCGGCGTCTGGCACCAGCAACCATGCCACATTCAAAGTCACTTAAATCACCTTTCTTCCTCATTCGGTTCGAAGTGCAGCAGATCGTCTTGACCATGTCTACATGCCTAAATGCATCGAGCTGCTGGCACGTGATTGGCTGATTAGAAATTCGCGTTAACGAGCAGCCAGACAGGTGTACCTAATAAAGTGGCCGGTGAGTGTATTATTGTTTTTCGCTTTTCGCAGGATGGCTGCGCGCTGCTTCTGGGATGCAGATACAGACAATTATGCTCAGGAGATATATATGAACGTAAGTGAAGAAATATATTTGATTTGACTACATGAAAACTATTTTGAAATGTGATTTCTGGTTATTAATTTATTTTTCCTGTCTAATAGGACAGCTTGTTCTGTGTAGCTGCTGCTTTTGCTGTGTATTATTACTGAAGACGCGCTGATGACCACATATATGCAGCTTGGGCCTCAAAAGGGTATATTTGTGCTGTTTATTTGAACTAAGTCAATCTCTTTCGTTTCTGTTGTTCAGAAGTCTTTGCTGTATGATATTTTGAATATATGAAGCTTTACAATTTTCAATAATGTTCGATTTATTTTATATACAGAAATAATAAAAGAAAATTAACTTTTGTCACTGTCATGCTCCATTTGGTTCATTTCATATGACCGACTGACTGATATTTAGTTTAATTTTCATCTAATAACTAATTATTAATCCGTTCACTCTAAACATTCATAGAAAAATTAATAAATTAAACAAATCCACATAAAGTAATCAAAGTTTAATCAAAGTATTTTGTGGGAAAACAACTACTTTATATGATACGGATTTAATGATGGCATCTATTCACATATATAATCATCTCAATGGGAACATTTTGAACAATCAAGAGTTTAGTTGAACAAACTTTCAATGGACGGACTGAAATATTGCAAATTTGATAAAAAAAAAATAAAAAAAAACCTGAACAAGGGCTCTTACACACACTAACAAATATTTGTGTTGCTTGTATAAATGACCTATTTAAAATTAGTTTAGGGCAGCATATAAAAGGAAGAAAGAGAAAGGACGCAGCATAAGGTGCCCGCCCACTTCCAGTTTAGCCAATTATATTTCAGCATCCCCGGTTGCCTTGCTGGAACACTGTGTATTTTATTCATTCAGTCAGGAAGGCTCTCAGAGCATGTGTCTGTGACCGAAATGTCACCCCTGGTGGACAGTAGCAGACTCCGAAATGAGACACAGATTCAGAGTTCCACATGATTTGGTTATTAATTAGCAAGTAATATAAATATTACGAGCGTAAACATTAGGTGAGCAGGTTACATTGTAACCCTGTGTCCTAACAACAGGCTACATGACTAGATTTGCAGTGATGAGCAATTTGGCTTTTTGCACCAGACGAAACAGGACGGAAATGTAAATACAGCCATTCAGAAGCACAGAATAGTGCATTCACTGCACTTCAGCAAGATGGTAAGGTTTATAATCTAATTAATACAGATTAAACCTCTTTAACATTACTAAATGTAGATGCTGAATCACTGATATGTGTTGGTTTGCACTGAGTCACAGTTCTAAAGTTCAATTTCAGACTGTTTATTTTATTTTGCAGATCTCAGGCGAACTATCTGCTGCTGCTTTCAGTAGTATGGCAATAAATGTCGTGTAAAATGGCGTTCAAACTCACATTATTAGCATTTAACTCTGAATAAAGCACATGAGGTGTACCTGAGGCGATCATTGTAAGTCCTGTTGTTCACCTGTGAGAAATAGAAGCGAATTCTAATTTCTAAATTTCAGGTGTTGGTTGGAACAAAAACTTCTTTTAATATGAAAATGTTTCTTCTATCGCGTGCTTTTGCTTTTATTTAGAACACGACTTAAATCAGCCTTTAGGCTCCATAGTCAGGAACACTCCTGTTGATGTCGTCAAACTTGCAACCTGCATCTGTTTTGATCCATGAATGCAATACCTAGTTCAACCACTGGGTGTCAAACTTACACATTGCACCTTTAATGCTGGTTCAAAGCCAGACAAATCAGCGCTGATAAAAAACGTAAAATTTTATTATACTATAGTAATAAATGTGTGTTAAATGAGTTTTATGATATTATTAAAAAAAACACTTTCTCGCAAGTATCTGTAATCTATAGTTACATTTTACCACAATATTGATGTGCTATGTGCGGTTTAACTAGTAAGCATGATTTAAATGGATGTTGTATAGAGGATCAGCCAGTATAATAAAATTGGACTTTATAAACATGTTTGTTAGTATTTTTTTATTTTTTTACAAACGTTACTGATTTTAAGCGCACATATGCATCCTCAATCTTCTGTCAAATGTGCCTTTCTATGTGCAGACATCCATCTATCTGCCTGTCTATTTTATTTTGTTATGTTTATTTTTTTTTTTTACCGTGCAGAAGATACAAGTCATCAAAGTCAGGCAACACAAACTTTATTCATGATTTCAATAAATATCAAAACAGTTATGAGAAGAAAATACAACTAAACGAATCAAAACGAATAACAAAGCAGAAACACATCAGCACAAAACAAACAAAAATGGGGCAAAAACAGAACAAAATAAACAAAAACAAAACAATGAAATAAAACAAAGCCCAAAACAAAAAAAGTAGATACAAAATCTAATCAGAACCTAATTAAAATAAAACAAACGAACAAAAAACATTTACAAACATAACAAAAGCCTAATAAATCGAAAGAACCGCATTGCTCACTGATGTGTTGACAAATAGGATTTATTTCTGAGGGTTGATAGACCAGCAAATCCTGTCACCATCATTATTCGTTCATTAGATTGTGGAAAAATACAAATATATATAAATCTGTTATAAAAAAAAACTAAGCAAATACTTTACCAAGGTCACTCGAGTTTGTTCAGCACAAAATCAATATTTATTTATTTATTATTTTTTTTTTTTACACAGTATCTATGATCGGAAACAACACATTTCTGAAATAAAAAATCTAGCCTCAGAAGCTTTGATCAGCCACTCTGTCAAACCTCAAGATTAAAGCGACTCAGAATTATTAATAAACCTTGTGATGCGCCGTTATTTTTAAAGGTACATGTTCAAGTTGTACTGCGAAGGCTTTTAGCGTCTCCTTAATCAAATATCCAGGGATGAAATATCCTTCTATAATTGGTTTCCCAGACCCCAATTACCCTACACTTATCATTCCCCATTGGTTCAGCAAGGCCGGTTTTACACTCTTCATGAAAATCCCAACATGTTTATGATAATGTAGCTTGTGTTGCTGTACAGTAGAAATCAGTACAGCAGTGCTTTTATTTACAAGAAAGGGCATATACAGTTGAAACCAGAAGATTCAATACACTGTATAAAAAGGCACATAACCATTTAAAAAAGTCAGATGTTAATGTGACTAATCTTTTTCTCTTTTAGGTAAGTTAGGATTATCACATTTGTTTCTGTTATGCTTAATAGCAGAATAAAGAGAGATATTTTTTGAGAAATTGTTATAACTTTTTTTGAAAGTCAAATTTTCATTCAGTATGATTATTATGCCTCTGAAAAAGCTCAGATGATGGTGTCAAGGTTATTGGAGTTATTGGAGGCAAAACTGTAGAATAGTAAGGAAAACCTCAAACACACCTTGTGTCCTTGTGTGACAACATGGGAAAATCAACAAGCCAGAATGAACAACAAAGCCAGATTACAATTTGCTAAATTACACTGGGAAAAGACTAATTTTTGGAGACATGTCCTGTGGTCTGATTGACCTAAGATTGAACTGTTTGGCCGTAATGTTACATTTGGAGGACAAAGGGGAAAGCTTACAAGCCTAGGAACAACATCCCAACTATGAAGTATGGGGGCGGCAGCATCATGTTGTGGGGCTGTTTTGCTGCAGGAGGGACTGGTCCACTTCACAGCATAGCTGGCATCATGAAGAAAGAACATTATGTAGAAATACTAAAGCAACATCTCGAGACATCAGCCAGGAAATTAAAACTTGGCCACAAATGGGTCTTCCAAACAGACCATGACCCTAAGCACACTGCCAAATTAGTTAAAATGTGCCTTAAGGACAACAGAGGGAATGTTTTGGAGTGGCCATCACAAAGCCCTGATCTCAATCCTATAGAAAATTTGTGGACTGAGTTGAAAAAGCTTGTCCGAGCAAGACAGCATAGAAATCTGACTCAGCTACACCAATTCTGTCAGGAGAAATGGGCCAAAATTCGTTCAAACTATTGTGAGAAGCTTGAGGAAGGATACCCAAAATATTTGGCCATAGTTATACAGTTTAAAAGCAAAGCTTGTGACTGTCTAGAAATTAATAAAAATTTCAAAAATAAAAATCTCATTATTCTGTCATTTAGCAAATGTAAATAATTTAGGTAATCCTAAAAGACCTAAAATAGTAAACATTTAGTATGATTTAACAACAGACATTAAAAAAAATGTTCCTTTTTTTTTTTAGAGTGTATGTAAACTTCTGGTTTTAACTGTAAATGTAGTTTTAGTTTTACATTTAGAGATAAATAACCCTATGGTGGCTGCTAAACATCAAATATTAAACATTTAGTCATATTTTTCTACATATTATCTATGTATATCTGTAAAAAATGTGTAATATGTGACCCTGGGGGTATTTAAGGGGGCCTATTATGCTAAAAAAAATCTATCCTATAAGGGGTTTAAACATAATTGTGTGGCAGCTATCTAAATGTAGACAGCTTTTAATGGTAAACATTTATTAATTCTAAATTTTATTATCACTCTTGATAATAACTGTCTGCAGAAACGCTTTGATTGACATTCTCTCTTTGTATGTGTCATCAGAGGGGGAAAGCCCCGCCCAGTAGTGACCATCTTTCCCTCTTTAGCTTAGGATGTCATTCTTGCTTTTGAACCTGCCACTATGCTGACACATAGGCATTTGTATCTCCGCCCTTTTTGTAAAAAGAGCACAATCTCATTTAAATTTAAAGCGACAGTCACCAAAATGACTGAATTAGGATCACGTCCTAATTGGAAAGAGCTATAAAACATTATTTGTGTGGTATTATGAGCTGGAACATCCCTTACACACTCTTGGAACGTCAGGGACTTATTTTACATCTCATAAAAAGGAGCATAATAGGACCCCTTTAAGTTTAAGGTGTATATTTTGTTGCAAAGGCGACAATATGTTGTATTTTTTTAACTTAACTATGTTAAAATTATTAAAATATTAAGTAAACATCTTCTTCTATGAAGAAATTCCGTATGAAATTCCGACTGTAAATATATAAAAACTTACTTTCTGATTAGATAGATAGACATTCATGTGTACAATTTTAAAGGTGATGTTCTCAGTATTTTAATATTAGCAACCCTCAGATTTTCAAATAGTTGTTGATTCATTCCTTTTCCTTCAGCTTAGTCTCTATTCCAGAGGTCGTTACAGTGGAATGAACCACCAACTATTCAGCATATGTTCTATGCATATTGCTGGTTGCCCTTCCAGCCACAATCCAATATTGGGAAACTTCAAATAGTTGTATCTCGGCCAAATATTTTCCTTCCCTAACAAACCATACATCAACAGAAAGCTTATTGAATAAACTATGGTGTGTATTTTCCAATAATTCCCCCCCAAAACACTGTTAAACAAACGTTAACAATTAAAAAAAAAAGAAGAATCAGCAGCTGTGGTTACCAGAATTTCACCATTAAAATCATAGTTGACACTCGGAATTGACATTTCCAACAGGTCACAGTTGCATGGTTCAGGGCTGCGGTGAATGCCCTCAGCTTTTAGCATGAATTAGCCTTCACCTTCTGTCTCCTTCCTCTTCCTGTAGCCTGCATGAGAATGTAAATTGTTCTCTGCGTCTGATGCCATATTTCAGGTCAAGCAGTTGCGCAGCAAATATGCAGAATGAATTATTTATATTTGAGCAATTGGCTTAACCATTGCCAATGCAAACAATGCACGCAAAACAGCCTGTGTGAATGAGTGAATCTCTGCATCTTAAATCACATATTGAAACATGATTTTCCGCATAGATTGTGTGTAGTATGGATAAAATTTTTCAGACTGTGGTAATTATGGCCATTTTTTGAGCATTTCTGCAGATTTCATTAAGAACCAGTAGGGGGCAGTAAATACGTGAATTATTCGTTAATTCAACTGATTGGTTCAAAACACAGATTCATCCATGAACAAAAAAAGTTAATGGCTGCATCTGAAATCACATATTGAAACGCGGTATTTTCTACTTGTATTGAGTGTAGTATGAATGAAATGTCGACGTATTAAATCCGTCATGTCGATAATGTCATGTGACTTACAGCGAAAATTCATTGGCTGTGTGCGAAATTGTATATCTTGTTTTGTAGATAATAAATGGTTGCTTTATTGTCGCTAAACAGAATTGTTTAATTAAATAAATGTAATCTGGACATACTACGTTTTTAAATGTTATTTTATTAATTCAAAGAAGTTAGACGATACAAAAATCTGACCCCACAGTGTTTACTAAAACCAAGCTAATACATGTAGCCTACAATCATGCGTTTTTATATTTGACTGTACATACAATCTTTATTGTTACTCGGCACATATGCTGCAGCAGTCATGCTAATAACAGCCTATTGCGTATGCATTATCCTCAATTCATATTCAAAATAAATAAAGTTTAGCTCTTTAATAGGGTAGTTCACCCAAAACTGAAATTTCTGCCATCATTTAAGAAACTTTTTTTGTAAACAATGTATACGTTTTTATTTTCGGGTGAACTATCCCTTTAGGAATAAGCACTAGTTCTGTTTCCAGAAGTCAGTTGCAAGCCCCGCCTTCTCAGCGACCTCACAATGGTGAGCGATGATTGGCTGGGAAGCAACACGTTTCGTCAAGAAATCAAAATATATATTAAAAAAACTGGAGTCTGAACCTGGCATTATTAACACAATCTCACGGCAATTCGTGAATTTTGAATTTAGTGGCTAATTCGAATTAATTTGTACGATCTAGTTCGTACAATTTAGTTCGATTTGCTCATCCCTTAATGACGGTTGGGTTTAGGGGTGGGTTTTTATATTGCCACGCCTCCTTTTTAAAATCGTACAATTTCATACAACTGAACTCGCACGAATTAGCCACTAAACTGACCCAACGTAAAATACTAACGTTTTCTCGTGAGATCGGGCTGGCATTATGTACAACTACACTTCTGTTTACCAATTTACTCAGTGTTAAAGCTCCAGGATTAATTTAACCACTTCTAAAATATAATCCTACACATTTTACACAACCTTAGGGACATGTCTTATTTTCTTGACCTTCATCCACGTCATAATCGTCTCCTTCAATAGTCACAGTGCCGTTGCATGGCGGGACGTCACTGACGGTGCTGCGAACGGTGACTCTGGTCATGCTCAGAGAGCGCTTTCTCGGGACGGGACGCCATTTATGGTGGCACATCACCTCTTTGAACATCTCCCTGAAGCGGGTGGACATCAGATTGTAGAGGACGGGGTTTATGGCCGAGCTCAGGTAGAAAAAGACCCCGGAGATGACGTGGACGTACTCGTAGACCTCAAAGATCTCGATGTGCTCGCTGTCCTTCTGATCCATGAAGCTCCACATCAGGCGGTCGGTGTGAAACGGAGCCCAGCAGATGCCGAACATCACCACCAAAACAACTGAGGAGAAAATACAGGGTGTCTTTAAAGGGATAGTTCACCCAAAAAGGATAATTCTGTCATTGTTTACTTTTTATCAGTTTACAACAGAGCCCTGCACATGACATAAAGAAAAAAACTTAATGATAAATAATAAAATCTTGGGCAGGATTACTTAGTTTCCTCTTCATGTGCACTAAATAATCGTTAGTGCTGTATTCACTTCAACACAGGCTCATTCTGAAAGCGTAGCCCTATATAGATTTCTGGAGATCACGAATTATGTATCCAGATGTACGTATGGCTGAATTTCGTTTTTAAAACGGAAGATCCAGGGCGGTGTGACACTGTTCCTTTTCGCGCTTACCAGCTGACCGCTTACCTCCATATGAATGTTACCAGTTTGCCCTGTAGCTTGCCATGTACATCGGCGGATATGAGACGCAGAGAGGAGTTGATCACAGCGAGGAGGTTCGAGTCCAGTGAAGAATGGTTTCAGAAAGTAGGTAAGACAAAAACAAACCAAAAAATAAATGTGGTAAGATCTGAAATCTAAAAAATCAGACGAGGGTCTTTTTTTGGATTATTTTTAAAAAACACTGTCGGTTGGGTTTAGGGAAGTGGGTGGGCTGGTCAACCTGTGCTTTTGAAAACACTATTGGTTGGGTTTAGGGAATGAGGAGGGTGGGACAGTCGCTCGGTCAGTCAGTCGACAGCGGCCTCTGTCCGTGGATTTATGTGAGAACAGCAGGCATGAATGCCACTCGTGAGAGAAATCTGAGATCTGAAAAAGCATACACAGCGGCCTTTAGTGGATTCACAAAGCAAAAAACTAAAAAAAACATACGTAACGTAGCTCCTGGGACGTATTTGGCGCTCTCCAGAAATGTATATAGCAGTGTGTTTTCAGAATGTGCCGGGGTTGATTACCTTTCAGGCATATCGTATCTGCCTTTGTAAACTGCTACATGGATAAAAAGCTGAAAAACTTCATTTAATGTGCACGATTCACGTAGAAGATGGGCACAAAGTTCCTTAGCGAATTTGAAAACATGGGCATGAATTAGTACATTGGGCTACAGTTTATTTAAAGAAAGAGTAGATCCAAAAAGTATACCATTTAAGTTCTAGGGGACTTTTTTCTTTTGTAGAACTTCGAGAAAATTGCAAAGTATTGAACACGTCATTTATTTTCCTGGGTATAATATTTCTAAAGGAGCTGTTGATGTGGAATGGAACCAGATTTTGGTAAAAATCCAAACAACATAAACATAAAAATAGTTGTGTATAACAATGTACTGACACAAGGAGAAAGTGCTGAACTACTGAAATGTATTTAATACTTTATATAAAAGGCCCTATATGACGGCAGCCTAAAGACGTCTCTCATATGGAGAAAGAAGTCACATGCATTGCTCAGGTCTGAGTTTCTCACAGACTTCAACGGAGTGTCAAAATATTGACGGTTCTGTGAGTCTCGTCTATCAAATCTGATCTTTATTATGTATTCTCTATTGGACTTAGGTCAGGTGATTGGCTGGGCCATTCTACAGCTTGATTTTCTTTCTCTGAAAGCATCTGAGAGTTTGAGAGAATTGCAGAGAACAGTCACTGTGAACTTTAGTTCCAATCACAGCTGTTGCTAGATTTCAAATTTTTTATTTTTTACAGGGACATAAATAAAACAGTTACTGGTGAGTTACTGATCTGCATTAATGTTACACACACACACACACACACACATATATATATATATATATATATATATATATATATATATATATATATATATATATATCGGCAGTTCATTCCACTGTAGGGACCCCGGATTAATAAAGGGACTAAGCCGACAAGAAAATGAATGAATGAATATATATATATATATATATATATATATATATATTTGTTTTTACTTTTTAAAATATTTTGTAAATGATGTCTAACAGAGCAAGGAAATTTTCACAGTATGTCTGATCATATTTTTTCTTCTGGAGTAGGTCTTATTTGTTTTATTTCGGCTAGAATAGATGCAGTTATAAATTTTTTAAAACATCATTTTAAGGTCAATATTATTACAGACCTAACCAGGACTCGAACCAGCAGCCTTCTTGCAGTGCTAACCACTGAGCTGCTGTGCCATCTTCTCCAGGATTTATCTAGGAAAAAGGGTGAGGAGTTGCGGTGGAGGGGGGATTCTTCAATGTGAAGATGACGAAGGTAAGGACGCTGTTTTTTTTTATGTACGTTTGGATTGGTCTGATCATATTATAGCTAATGCGGGACCGGCTGTGGTCAATCATAAGCATGTGATCCTCTCGAAATTAGTTTATAAATAAACTTCACAAAGTTCTAAGAGAAAAAAGTCGGAATAGCTAATAAATAAAAAAAACCCTGAATTTAGAGTACAGATTTCACAATTTTGAATATATTTCTCACAATTCTGAGTAAACAGTCAGAATGGTAAATAAACAAATCTGAATTTTGAGCACACGTTACACCATTTTTATTGCATTTTTTTTTTTTTTTCACAATTTAGAACAAATAATTACTCTAAAGCCTAAAAAAGGCAAATAAAGTTGCATTTATCTAAGCAAAAAGTGAATGGCTCAATATAAATACTCAATATTCACTTTTTATTCCTACCATTGTAGGTTTACACGTTGCGCTTAACGTGTTATTTTCCGCATCGCATTGTTTATACGGTATATTTTTCTCTCTGAATTTTCAAGACAAAATATAGAACTTGCGAAAAAGCTTGCAGATGCTAATAGTCTGACAAAAAAGAGATTTTACCTTTCACAATGTAAAAAAACACAATGACAATATTCTTCCAATTCAGAAAAACCCCTCAAAACTGAGATAAAAACTTACGCTTATTAGAAAAATGCACACAATTATTTGTTGTTCCTCTCCAAAAACACCCTTTCCCTCGTGTCTTCACGATGTATATAAATAAACTTCTTCATCTACCAATGGTTAGAGGCTATTTCCTCCAATTTCTGTCTTTATGACAGCCCGCCATCTACAAAACGATTGCTCGTCAACAACTGTTTGGAGCGTAAACATAATAATGATGCCATTAGGCTGCCAAGACTGCACGCGAAACCAAAAGATGACTCAAAGTGACGGAGCAGGCTTCATATGTTATGAATACGCTTGCAGTGTAATGTGATTCAAAGCAGTCTGCCAGAGTGTAACAGTCGGCCTACTTACACAACATCTTGGTCACCTGCTGGCGACGGGTTTTCTGCTGCTGACTGCGCACATTAGATGAGCTGTCCAGGCCCGAACTGGCTTTGGCCTCCAGGACCTGCAGCATCTTCTCCCGCTTCAGCTGCATGCCGATGAGCAGATACAAAACGCTGATGGTCAACATGGGCAACAGGAAGAATAGCAGAGTCGTGATTTGGATGATCAGGTTGTACATCCAGCGCGGTTTCACGAGCATGCATGTGGCGGAGTCGAGCATGACTCCTGCTGCTTTCCCTTTAGGAGGCGGGAGAGTAAATATACCGTGGAGGATCGTGTTGGGAATGGCGCAAAGCACGGAAATGCTCCAGACGCTCAATATCAGGCGCTTTGCATGAGTGCGGGTTACTACGTATTTGGCTCGGAGTGGGTGAATCACAGCAATGTAGCGTTCAACGCTCAAAGCAGTTACGTTCAAGATCGACGCAAAGCAAACAGTCTCGAAGAGAAGAGTCTTGAAGTAACAACCGCCCTTGCCTAAAAGGAACGGATAGTTGCTCCACATTTCATAAAGCTCCAAAGGCATTCCCAGGAGAAGCACTAGAAGATCTGAAATGGCCAGGCTGAACAGGTAGAAGTTGGTCGGCGTCCGCATGACTTTGTTTTTAGCAATGACAATGCAGGTAAGGATGTTTCCCACCGCTCCCACCAGGAAGATCAGGAGGTAGGTCAGGCATACAGGCAGGAACACTGGGGATCGTCTTGGCCCGAGGTATTTCTCCAGATACTCGTCTTGGTCAAGGCAGAAGTCTTCAATCTCCATCTCGGTGAGGTTTAATGCCACACTGGTGTTGCATAATAGGTCTTGGATGCATTTTGGCGTTGAGGAATCGGTCGAGGAGCAGTTGGGTTTGGGGATCATTCCGGACCTGCGGATGGGAGAAGAAGAAAGGGTTGGAGATTATGGGTGAGGAACAAGCTTGTTTGATGATTTTTTAAAAATTCATTCATTCATTTTCCTTCGGATTAGTCTCCTATTTATCAGGGGTTGCCCTAATCGAACTTTTCCAGCATATCTTTTACGCAGTGAATGCCCTTCCGGCCACAACCCAGTACTTGGTATTAAAAAAACCAATGAAAATGGTGTAAAGACGACAACTCATTCAATGTTGAAGTGTGCTTACCACAGGTGGGTAGGCTTGAGCAGCTGGGGGGGTGGGGTTAGTGGGGGAATGATTAAGGACTGTCTCTATAAATACAAAAAGACGAGTTGATTAATACATAAAGTGCATGCATGGGGCACGCTGTCGGCAGCAATTGTCACTGTCATTATTGCAGAATTGATGCCCTGCAGTGATTCTGTTTAGATTCATATGTCTTCCACAGACAGTACAAAACTCACGCAAACAGGCTTTTTAGTAATTATGGTTGCCAATTATTTAACTGGAAATCATTTGGAACAAAAATCTAAACAGAATATGTTGGATGGAGTATGGTCTGTATGTTTCAATTCATGCACTATCCTTCCTACAGTTAGTAACATGGAAGATCAGTGCATCCTAAATCCTAGTATAATGAAATCAGTTTAAAAACGTTCATGGTAAGTATGTTTTCAGTGTTTGTATTTAATTGTCGTTTTTCCAGTATATATATATATATATTCCACGACATCTCAAAGCTGCTCTATTGGATTGAGCCTAGTGACGGTGATGGCCATTTGAGTACAGTGAACTCATTGTCATGTTCAAGAAACCAGTCTGAGAGGATTCACGCTTTATGACATGGTGCATTATTCTGCTGGAAGTAGCCATCAGAAGATGGGTATGCTGTGGCCATAAAGAGATGGACATGGCAGTATGGATCCATGCTTTCATGTTGTTGATGCCAAATTTTGACCTGACCATCTGAATGTTGCAGCAGAAACGGAGACTCACTAGACCAGGTAACATTTGTCCAATCTTCTATTGTCCAGTTTTGGTGAGCCTGTGTGAATTGTAGCCTCAGTTTCCTGTTCTTAGCTGACAGGAGTGGCCCCCGGTGTGGTCTTCTGCTGCTGTAGCCCATCCGTCTCAAGGTTGGACGTGTTGAGTGTTCAGAGATGCTCTTCTGCAGACCTCGGTTGTAACGAGTGCTTATTTGAGTTACTGTTGCCTTTCTATCAGCTGGAACCAGTCTGGCCATTCTCCTCTGACCTCTGGCATCAACAAGGCATTCGCACCCACAGAACTGCCGCTCACAGGATATTTTCTCTTTGTCGGACAATTCTCTGTAAACCCTAGAGATGGTTGTGCGTGAAAATCCCAGTAGATCAGCAATTTCTAAAATACTCAGACCAGCTCGTCTGGCACTAATAAATATGCCACGTTCAAAGTCTCCTGCATCCCCTTTCTTCCTCACTCTGTTGCTTGGTTTGAACTGCAGCAGATCGTCTTGACCATGTCTACATGCCTAAATGCATTGATATATATATATATATATATATATATATATATATATATATATATATATCCCCATCCTCACACAGCATTCCAGAGAAGAACATTTCTATCACAGGAAACTGAGGCTACAATTCACACAGGCTCACCAAAACTGCACAACAGAAGATTGGAGAAGCGTTGCCTGGTCTGATGAGTCTCCATTTCTGCTGCTACATTTGGATGGTCGGGTCAGAATTTGGTGTCAACAACATGAAAGCATGGATCCATCCTGCCTTGTATCAATGGTTCAGACAGGTGGTGGTGGTGGTGTAATGGTGTGGGAGATAAATTCTTGGCACACTTTGGGTTCATTAGTACCAATTGAGCATCGTGTCAACACCACAGCCTGCCTGAGTATTGTTGCTGACCATGTCCATCCCTTTATGACCACAGTGTACCCATCTTCTGATGGCTACTTCCAGCAGGATAACACACCATGTCATAAAGAGCGACTGGTTTCTTGAACATGACAATGGGTTCACTGTACTCAAATGGCCTCCACCTTCACCAGAACTCAACCCAATGGAGCACCTTTGGAATGTGGTGGAACAGGAGATTCACATCATGGATGCGCAGCCGACAAATCTGCAGCAATGATGCTATCATGTCAATATGGAGCAAAATCTCTGAGGAATATTTTCAGCACCTTGTTAAATCTACGCCATGAAGGATTAAAGGGGATCTAAAGGCAAAAGGCGGTCCAACCCGGAACTATTAAGGTGTACCTAATAAAGTGGCCAGTAAGTGTGCGTTTATTTGTAATAAAAACTGCATAAATATGATGTTACACAAAATTCATTTACATTCTGACAACATGCTGTATGCAAATTACGATAACTCTCTATCATGTTTTTTTTTTTTTTTGCTAATTAACTCTTCAGTAAGCAATAAAAAAACAAAATTAATGAAAATGTATGAAGTTATCTGTTTATCTGTAAACTATTTCTATACTTCAGAAAAATCCCCCTGTACTGTAACAGCAAAATCACACAGAGAATGATCTGCTTGTTTCATCATGATCAACAATTGTGCCAGAAATATAAACCGAACAAGCTCTCACTTCAAACCACCGCCGAGAACAGACATCATTCAGTCTGGTCTAATCTACACTCAATCCCCAGAGCATTTCATTAAGAGGAGAGCTCCTAAATTAGTTATTAATTCCAATCTACCTCCAATATCTGACACAAACAGCTGTAAACCGATAATAAAAGTCACAGAATTCAACAAAGCAAACTAGCTTACCTTACAGTTCACCACAGAGCACGACCCAGCCTCTTAAAACAGAAATAATATCAAAGCGAAGCCTGCAGATTCAGCTTGTCTTGTTTAAAACACTGAAGCTCATCAGATGAGGAGGAAGGTTTCCTTGGTTATACTGAGAGACACAGTTATGCGCTCTCTCTCTCTTTTTGGTCTCTCTCTCTTTTCATCCTTACTCTGTGTGTCATCGCGAGTCTCATTTAACCCTATCCGAGCAAGCGCGCTCTTCCAGCCTGTCACCCAAACATCTGCTCATATCACACAGCAAAAGCAGGATCTACTTTCTAATCCAATTTCATTCATGCCATTGTATCTTCAGAACATCTGTGTTTAATTGAACTGGGTGACTGAATTGAATTAAGGACCGCTAATTAAACCGAGCTCCTGGAAAAGCATACCTCTGGTTTCTCTGATGATATTAATCCTCGAAGATAACGGGCGTCTTTTAGATGGAGCGTGCGAAGTTATCGGATGCAATGGCATTTTGGGAAATGCTGGAAAGAAATAGTGTGGGGAAATCTGATACTTGATTTTAATCATCTGAATCAACCGAGCGTATTCAAATGAGATGCAAAACTGAACGCTTGTGCATAACAGGATAGCTTAGCTATTTAAAACCGTACTTTAGTTTTAAGAGTTCACACTTGGCTTATGTTTAATTATAAAGCTTGTTTGGCATGCTGTCCTGGGGGGACAGCTCTTTAGATCCTCGAGCCCGGGGTTCCCTCCGGTTTGCAAGGCGAGAGGGGAGTTTGAGCTCAGGTAGATCTGGAGAACTCCCCTGCTGTAGTAGCTAATGAACAGATAGGGATTGCTCTTAAGAGATAGCTACTTACTGGAAGCATGTCTATGATGCTGATTTGGATTAGTCAATAAACTCAGGTTGCATGTTTTTGGATGGTGGGAGGAAACCGGGGAACGAGAGCAAAACCCGCGTGAGCACAGGGAGAAGGTGTAAACTCCGTCGGCAGGCTTGGTAAGGACTAAATCAGGGTATCTTCCGTCCATTTCATATCCGTCTACTACGGTGGCCGGGAAGTGCAAAACAACATTACAAAGTGTGAAACACTTTTACAAAGCTCGAGACAAATGTACATTTTGAAAAACATTTTTACTTATCATCATCAGGCACAATTACATAGGAAAAACTATTTTACCAAGGACAAAACGAATTTACATTTTAGAAAAAAATATAAATAACAAGACGCAAAACACTTTTACAAATCCCGAAACAAATTTACAATTACAGATTCCCTACGGAAAGGGCATGTACCACACTGTAAAAGTTTGTAAAAGTTTGTTACACTGTAAAACATTTTAATTCCTGTTGCCAGCAGGTGGCGCTATAACTGTAACTGGATATTGGCATGTAAACATGTTCAGGTCAGGACTGTTATCAAACGTGTGAATTTTGAGGCAGATCGGGCAATGTGTGCCTGAGTTATAAAAACTTCCTGTTTCGTAGTGAATCGTCAAAGTTTGCGAGGTCGCCGCGTACACACGCCCTTTGACGAAATCTCTAGATCTTCGCAATTTCGCAAATTGGCCAAGGCCTTTAGATGACAAAACCCAATTTTGGTGTTGATCGGATGAAATCCCTAGGTGGAGTTTGTTAAGATACAACGCCTGGAAATGGCAAAAACGGCACTTTTTTGGTGCAGGAAGTTAAAAATATCTGACTTCCTTTTGGGTTTGAGATTTCGCTCCAAGCGACTTTTTTGTAGGTATTGGCATGTTTGACGTGTGTGCCAATATTCGTATGTGTGCGTGAATCATGGCTCTGAGGCCAGTCCGTCAAATGTGCATACGTGGCGCTGTTGAGTCATTTTGCCACGCCCACTTTCAAAACCTATAACAAATGTAAATTTTCGCCAATTCTAGGATGTGTGCAAAGTTTTGTGAGTTTTCGAGCATGTTTAGACCCTCCAAATTGCAATTCATTCCTGAGAAGAAGCGGAAGAAGAAGGATAATAGGAAATGGAGCAATTCCAATAGGGCCTAGGCACCGTTTCGGTGCTCGGTCACTAATAATAATAACTGGCTAATAATAATAATAATTAATATTGTTTATTTAGTGTTTTTTTATTGTTGAGGTTTTATAATAGTTGTTAGCAGGACCAGAATAAGAACACACTGGGCTCTGGGGCTATAACAAAGGGTACCACATGTTTTTATTTTATTTCCTTCTATTTTAATTAAATACAGTTGTGCCCTTCGAAATCCTCCATTC